TTCTAGCTAGTCATTCCACTTTTATGATAGTAGAAATGCATTGATTGCGCCAAACGTCAGTTTATCTCCTTGTTGATGTTGATTGGCTGAGAGGGGCAATAAATCAACGATCATCTTAATGGCTTTATTTAACTTAACTCGACACATGAACCATCTTTTCGTCAAGTTACGATAGTCAGGAGTTCGATCCCTCAAAGGATTCTCAGATCTCTTTTTTTTTTGTGTCTTGCTTGTTACAGAACCAAGAACAACTTTATTTGTTAAATTAATCTTAGAAACTTTCATACTTTCCTTGATATCCACATCTAGTGGAGCTACCTTCTGGCAAGTTTATTTGTGACGGGTGGCGCTGTTTGGAGCTATTTTCAAACCTTCTCCACCAGACAACTTATGCACCAGTGGGTATGATAAGAAGTGGTCTGTCCATTATGTACTTCATAGCACTGGTATTCATCACCGAGCTGATCGGGGAAAACAGGGTTAGTCTTCCGAAACAAGTTTAAATGGTTTCGAGGAGAGACTAAGTCGCAAACTCTGATCATTTCATTAGAGTGCATTTCCAACCAGCCATTTTTGAAACTGAAATGACATGAAAGTTTTTTTGAATGTCGCAAAACAAAATCCAAACTAATCACAACTCTTTGTCCGAACGAAATAAAATCTCACAAGCAGCTACTAAGAATATAAAGTAAATACAGTTAGATCGCCTGAAGTTTGGGAAATTTCGAGTTACATCTGATCGGTTGAGAGATTGTTGCGAGTTTTCAAGGCCAATCACAAGGGTAATGAAAAAGAACCGTTTCATTCGCGGACTAGTTCCGAAACTTGATGAACACCATGATCAGTGTGCAGATTTCCCATAGCGCTCTCTATCAATTTACCGTGATGCTAACAGGGAGATTTTTTCTAACAATCAAGACCTTTATTTTGATTGGCGATCATTTACCTTTTTCTCTTTTGACGTAAATGTTTGATTCAGCAGTGATACCGTGAGGAGAAATTAAAGACCTGCTGGTCTTAGGGGTAAAAAGTTAAAAAACTACGTTAATAATAGGACTAATGTTGGTTTCCCATCAGAGATCAATGAGTTAATACGCTAACTTCCTGTCAGGAAACCAGTGGATCAGTGTTTTCCATTATCACTGTAATCGCCAGAAACTCAAGCGGTGCGCTTATCATTGGTATACAGGAGTTTTATCCGGAAGAAAGGTTAGTCTATCAAATCTTTATTGTAATTTACCCTAGAAGGAACAAGAAACATGGTATTTAAAACGTTTAGATGACCAGCCGGTTTGTTAAAACTCGAAAAGTATATTCAACAGGTCTTTACTAGCTTGACCAAGCCATCGTTGACAAATCTGCAAAAGTAAAGGTAAGTACATTGTCAAGCTGTTAGACGTCTATAACTTGGGTAACGTAAGGAGAATAACTGCAAATACTCTGAATTACCCCCTGACGCAATGGTGTCAAGCGTTCCTTTGTTCAAAAAAGTAATCTTATTAAATGACACGTGTACCAAACTGACGTTTGGTCTGTCCGATGTATTCGTTTTCCGATGTATTCAGACCAAACGTCAGTTTGGTACACGGTTAAAAGAGCACCAAAAAGCGGTTTTCCTTTGCAAAAAGGAAAATTCAGCCTTATCGGAGCATACATGCCTAACTAACCATACAATTGGGTGGGATTTTTCTAAAATTATCACCACTAATCGGCGTTACCACCAGGGCCTTTGTTTGGAGGC